TGGTGGTGGTGGTGGTGGTGGTGGTGGTGGTGGTGGTGGTGGTGGTGGTGGTGGTGGTGGTGGTGGTGGTACATACAGAGGGTTGAATGAGCAGACTGTCCCAGTGACTGAAGGTCACGCCGTGGAAAGGGGGACGTGTGTGTGAGGCTGCGAGGACCGGGTTTTTGGGAATGAATCAGCACGGTTCACTACAATCTAATAAAGCACTGCAATTGGTTACACAAGTAAGTAACGGCTTATGCAATAAATCAAACAATGGGATCAAAAACATCTACTGCGTCCCCTAGTAGACGTGGGCAATTTTGTGAGGGTGAAATGAAATACGTGCTTTGGACAAAATGAAATTTCACATTGGCTAAAGTTTGATGCACCTGATACAAATCAGTATGTTAACGGTCATTAAACTTTTATTGCATTGAAATAGACTGAGATTACAGAGCCCGAAGCATGTTCACAATGGTGGCGAGAATAATTTTCACATTTTAGCTTAACAAACTAAGATTCGATTGATAATTTTAACAGCACATGCGTAAACAACTGCTTGAGAGTGATGCTCTAGCAATGAATCCATTGGTTCGTAGTTCAGGTTTAAAAAAAACATTTGCGCAAGATAATTTAAACACTCGACCTGTGCATTGATCACATTGAGGTTGTCTAAGTAACGACACATCAATCATGCTTTGAGATGTCTGCAAGCATTTTAGCGAGAATAGATCAAATTATGATGACTCGATCAGATCATGAATCGGCTGTTTCGGCATTGGCATGGACTTAATAAATGATATCGACCAAAACAATTTCTGTTCTGCAGAATAAGGGAGAATCTTAAAGGATTAGATTCACCTATCATGGTCAGTTTGTAAGTTCCTGAGCATTTATGAAAGTACAGGACTATTTCCAAAGTCTCGATTATTTTCCTAACAGACAAACCCATTGGTGGAGAGTTATTTGTTAATTTTTATCATGAAATAGTTAATCTTTAACTAAAAAATTTTGTTCAATGACTGAACTACTTTTGGGTATGATTTTGATTCTTCTTAGGTCTACATTTAAATCATTTTTTGCTCAGTGTACAGAAACTACCTAGGATCTTCATTTTGACTACTACTAGCAGTAATATAAATTTAATACATGTTCATTTTTCTTTTATTTAAGTATTTGGATGTTTTATCTGGTTTGGAAGGTGTTTTTTATTTAAACCAATAGTCTCTTATAAAATGAATTCAGTTCCTTTTAAGAAATACATTAAAGAAAAAAAGTAAATGGTAATCCTTGTAGAACATGGACAACGAAATTTTTAAAAAAATTCGCTTTTTGCTATTTGTCTTTTACAGTTTATGTGAAATTTTACATCTAAACGTGCAATTTCAGTTTGGTAAAAAGACTAGACGTAGAATATGTGGGCCCCAGCATGTGGTCTTGAACCACGCCGGGGCCAGTGACTTTGATCTGAACCGATTACGCTTCCCTAATTCCCGCGATGAAGAAAAAGACCAGAGAGGACGTGGATACAGCCGTTTACTTCAGAGCTCAGCCAAATTTGTGTCGATGTGTCGTGAGTGGTGTTTTTTTTGCGTGTGCATTTATACCTCGGATGTGTGAGTCATACATGCACTAACATCGAGACCTAGGTGTGGGGGGAATCCAAGATAAATATTCGTATAAATGAGGGGGGAGTTGAGGATCCACGCGTCTGGAGACATGCCGCGAAAAGGTGGACCCAGTGTCGGAGTCTGGAGTGGCCGGATTAATAAGGGTGAATCACCGCGATTTGCAGCAGGTAAATTAAAAGGAGAGGCGGTAGTTGCCAGTTTAGTTGATTTTGCATTTGCGAAACATTCTACGTAGAAACAGGACTCTACTGTCTTACTTTTTTTGCCACATACGTGCTGTCATTGATATGGAGCTATATCGCCAACTTGCCCATCAGTCTAAGCCCTTCATCGTTTCAAAAGGGAATTTAGACTGACATCCCAAAGATTTATTACTTTACTTTAGTCATGTGATCTTAAAAAAAGACAAAATTTTCTGTAGCCAAGTTGCACCGATTGCCTTTGCCTGGACATTTGTTTTCCTCAAGCGTTTAGTTTGTCGCAAAGGCTTCGAACATTACACCTAAAGTCAGTGCTAAGTTTGCATGACTGCAAATTTCCGTGTTATCTCACCTTTTTACATTTTCCCAGCTTAAATAGAGTAGTTAGTGAGAAAGGTAAGTAAGGGTGTGTGTTTGGGTGATGTACTGCCACTGGATCCAAAGATTGTCAAATCGTTACTGTTTGACAGGCACCCGACTTGAATATTCCGATTGGATGTTTGGAAATGTTATAGATTGTGCGCACGAAGAAGCAGCGTGTGAGGCAAGATTTTACCAAATACCACTTTCTGTGATATTTTGGACTAGAGATTGGCCCTGATTGACGAGAAGAGGACTGCATTATAACGGAATCCATCCAATGATTATTCGATTGTATTATAAAATGACGAAAAATTGTAGCGCACAACATTTATAAGTGAAATCGAACTAAGTGTTTTTAACCCCTAAATTTATCGTGCACTTTAAGTAAACTGAAGGCATTTATTGTGTTATGTAGGAAATAAAACTTAGTGTTAAACCTGAGCTGTACAATTGAGTTAGTGTTTGGATCAATAAAAAATAATTTATCCTTTTTGAAAAAAATACCGAAATCAGTGGTAGAAATTTTGATTTCTCAATAGTTCGAAAATTTCACGTACTGCGTCAAGAATTCGCTTAAATTTTAGTGATAAAAAGGCGCAGAACAGGGAATTTTAAACTTGTAAATGTGTTCAAACATAATGCTAGCCATATAGCAATGGGTAGTTAAACCAGTTTACTTTCAACCTTAGAACAAATAGCTTTACTAGGTTCCTAGTTTTGCCCAAAAATGATTGGCTGAAATTCTTGGTCTGACGTGGTTGGTCCAGTTAGAACGCAACTTTCCCCGGGATCTGAGTGCATTAACACCACGCGTCTGATTATATGAAATGTTTACATTACAAAATGCAGAGGAATAATGGAATTCCGCGCACTTCATCCATCATGCCTCTTCCTTATGCTTTTGTCTGAAGCCACTCTCTGTCAATCAAAGGCCCAACAAGACCAAAGGTGGGGCATCGAACAGGACATAAACCGTCTACTGGCAGATGACATCGGTCTGAACCGCGACGACACTAACAACTGGCTTAATAACACAGAAGCCGCAAATATCAGTTCAAGCGAAAATGTTACCTCGTACTGGCATTTGCCGGCAGATGCCCCTTTGCCGGAACCGTCCACTTTGGATTCTCTCCGAAGCCAGGCGACAACGAAGGATTTCAACCAAATCCAGAAGTCCGAAGCACTTTTGCGCCACTGTCCTCGACTAAAAATTCTCCCATTCCGCCCCATTTATGAATTTGTCGCCTGCGCATGCTGGTGCCTCCTTTTTGGTCTGTTATCCAGCGCCTGGATGGTCCTGCTGTGTGGCAAGCGCTCCAAAACTAACAGATCAACTCAAGGCGACGTATACATGTTCAAGTGCAAGCTTATTCTCGGGCTCAACATCCACGCGTCTGTATGTGTGTTGACATTCCTCGTTTTACAAATTGTAGCCAGAGGAGCTGTATCTTTTACGGAACATGATGGCTATCAGCACACAAAATTATGCAGCATCGCTACCTCTGTGCATGATCTTTGCACGTCCGTATTTTGGCTCCTTGTAGGCTTCTCAAATACCACCTTGATTCTTTTTATTCGAGGTCTAAAACCAGGTCTGAATAGGTCTGAAACACTGTCTCTGTATACTCGGCTGTTCAAAAGTCATAGGAATTTTGTCTTTCTCAGTGTGCTTACTCACATCATCCCCTGGGTTGGTGGCATTGCATTGAGTACTTTGCAGCTAATTTTTTTGCACGAAACAGTGCCCGACAGTGTGAAAATGCCAGATAGGAGCGAGCTTTTAAAGGCTCTTACGTGCGCGCTCCCGGTGTCATTTGCCATGATCACTATGATAACTCGAATATGGAAATTTCAGGGGCATCGGCTGCACTTGCCGTTCTTAAGCCGCGTTACGCACGACTACACCTGCCAACACGAGCAATTCCCGATGAAACCTAGTACCACTGCACATATCGCATCTACCATCACTGAGATGATCCCCGCTGCCGTAGCCTTGTTCACTTCTCCGGTTGTTAGCGGCCTCCAGCTGGCTTGTTCGGCAGTCGCTGCAGCTGCTATTGGCCTTTGGATATTGTCGATTGCGCTCAATGAAAATCGGTTTCTGCCACGAGCGCAGACAGCTGGCATGCTCATCGCCATCTCCCTATTCTACACTGCGACTTTGGTAGGGTACAACAGTCGGCTGACTCTGGCCTCGGCGATAACCACACGTAACACTTACATTCCAGGTGAGGTGAAACGGGAGACCAGTGGACGCGTGTGTTCGACCTCGTCGGATGCAAAGCTTTCGCCCCGGGAGCTCCTTGAAATTCCAAAATTCACGCGGACCCAATTTTTTGATACACTTTCAGTTTCTCCAAACGAACAAACAGATCAGTGTTGCTCTAACAGGTCTGTACAAATTATTACAGTTTATGAACCTGTCGTGGATTAAATAAAAACGCTTCAACTAACAACCCATATTTGATGAACAGGATTAATATCAGTAACAAGTATCATTTTTTTGAAGTTAAAGAACAAAAATTATGGCAAAATTACTTCGACGTCATTCGTGTCAGGTTTTTAAGGGTTAGGTAAGAAATGAAGCGTGCGTGCTACCGCGCCCACATGTCTACGATTGACTGGAGAAAACTGGTGCTGTTACTTGTGACCTTCATTAACACATCTGCTATAACTAAACCTACATCAATTTAAAGGTCATTCGTACTTTCCATTAAAGAGTTTAAAGATTTAACTCCCTAGATTAGTGTTGTCAAATAGTTAACCATTTGCACACCTGTTAGAATTCAATAAAAACGTCTAGCAAACCGTTTTCTAGCATTTTTTTCAAAAAAGAACCAAACCGTAGTGACACTGGAAAACAAATTTAAATGAAGCCATGTTAGCAGTTAGAACGGGGCTACTTTACTTATCTGAATTATCGATGAGTGTTCTTTTTGCCACAAAGTGGTTGTTGTGTTAGCATTTATTTTTTTGCTTGCAAGAACTGTTTATAATCTGAAGAAACAAACGCAAATTTAAAAAAAAAACACAACAAACACTAAATCTGTTTCCAGACTTTGTGCATTGCTTATCATGCATGATTTGAAGTACTTTAACTCGCCACTGCGTCTTTTATTGTTGCTAATAATTGTGAATGGTTGGAGATGCGTTGAAATCAAAAAGTTCCATTTGACAACTCTGGCAAATAGCTCTCATTTCTTTAAATTCAGATTGATTTGTCTAAAAGATGTGCAATTTGTGTATTTTTGCAAAAATAGGAAGAAAAGAACAGGTAAATTAAGTGCGGTAACGTGAACATTGCCGCAAACTGTGGCTTAGTTAGTCAACTCTAAGTTTTTTGCAGTGTCTTTTCTTACTGTTCGGTTGTCTGTGTCACCAAACTTACAATGATGTGTTTTTTTTGGATTTCTCACTTATTTACCCAGTTCTAAAATCGATCCTAGTTTTCTTGTAGGTGTGATTTTGTAAGAAAGCTTACAGAGACAGTATTCTTTACTAGTTTAATTTCAATGAGCATTCGCTGTACCTTTGAAATCTACCACATTTCATTTAGTTTGCATCCATTTACTTTCAATAAAAATCGTTGAAAGGTATATATGTGTGCATTTATGTACGTATTTGTCGTACTACTCTCAGCCAATCATTTTAGTGATCACATACAAAGCATGGTTATGTGCTTACAACTTGTAAAGCGGAGCCTAGTAGCTAATCAGCGAACGCTGCAGTCATTGTACACCCCTTTGTGGCACTACAAAGCATAATAACTCAGTTTTGCTGGCAGTTATGGAGTGCTTGTCCAGGAGTTACAGTTAGTCCTGCTATACTAATGCAGAATCTGTTACTCAGAGTGACACGAATGCGATTATTATTGATTTTTATCGGAAAGAATCCGATTTTATCAGGGGTTGGTTCGTTCAAATAACGAGCATCCATCCTAGCGCCTATCAGATTTCAGTCAATCAATTTTTTGTTCAAAATTTGAAATCAAAGTCAGAGACTGTCTAGGTGACAACGTAAGTTGAAGTAGACATGCACGTTTTTCTTACCTGCACATAATTTATCAAGCATAATCTTTGCTGAAGTCGTAACCGTCATGGATGCTTTCCAGAAATATGTGTTTCGGCCCCTTTAAAATCAGGAAGCAATCTCGAGGAATAATTGATCTTTCTAAACCACATTTGTTGGGCTTTTATCAATAGATCAGACAATGAAACAGGAAATGCAGTTTACTTTTTTAAAAATTTCGGTTTCTTAAGGTTTTTAATGAATCGAATTGGGTTATGATACAAGCAAAGTGCAATCTGTGTAAATAGATAATAAAACTAACAGCTATTGGATACCAATGAATTTCCAACTTTTTGCCTTCTACTTAAGTGTAAATTGCCTTAATTTTTCCTTTACATGCCTTCTCTTTTTCGGTCAAAATAGCTAAACGCGGAATTTTGCAAACTTAGACTTTGAAAGTTGTAGGTTAGCTTCTATGACATCAATACGCAAAACGCGATCGTCCTCAACAACAAGAATAACCAAAGCTATCGTCAATAAATTCGATCTGACAGGTAAATCAAAACAGGTTGGCAACAAGCCTCTATGAGTCGGTTTTTAGCAAACCTGAACCTATACGGTTGTCTCGTTTTGCGATGTCTCAGTTAATTATCTTGACCTTTTCATTCATCAGGATGTGCTGGAATGATTAATAAGGCCACTTAGAGTGCCAAACTATTAGGAATTCGGTCGAGACTTATTCCCGAATCGGCCTGCTAGCCAAACTGTCAAAATATATCTACTTTGCAATAAAGATCAACCTGAAAACTAATGCAAAATCAAAATATTTCGCCAGTGCAATTCCGCTGGATCAACTTAAATATTAATGAATACTGAATTAAGTTATTAAACGTTTTTGAGTCAGTGGGCTAGATTTTGTGGGCTAGATTTCCAAATACATCACACATCCATAATGCAAATAAACGAAGTTGGGTTCGACTCAGCAAAGATCTAAGGTATTTACTTCTATTAATCGAAATTTTACTCCTGTATAAATTCCAATTTTGGCTATGTCCGTTTTTCTCGTAATTAAATCAAAAGACTGAAAAAATTGTATCAATTTACAACGGCAAAAAATGATTTGGTAGTAATTTTTGGCAGTATTGTAAAAAAAAAAACATGACATCGCTATTTTGTGCACCAATTCTGATTTAAGGACAAATTAGCCTTTTTTAATATTAACAACGTCAATAACGAGGTATTTTGGGCTTGAAAATTTGACATGGGTGAAAATCCTTAGAAAAACCGAACAAACTCGAAAGGTTTAAAAGTGATAAAAGTACAATGCATAAAAATGACCAACTAGACAAAATCGGATGCATATTTCACTTAAAAGTGGGTGTTTACAGTGCAGATGTGCGTCTAATTCACAAGTTGAATAGTTTTACCACAAAAATGTTGCGAATTCTGCAAATCGGTGAGTCTGTTGGTAAAATATACTTAAGTTAAGCTGATGTTTCGTGACAAGAAAGGAATGTATTTTTAAATATCACTGTTCTGCATCTAAAATCATAAAGTGACTTCAAAAAGTCCAGCCATTAGCGATGTGGATTCATTTTAAATATTTAGCTCTAAAGAATCAATGTCATTTGCTATTACGGTTCCACCACCTATTTTTTTCATATCAGCATCTCTTCAGAATTTTGGCACCAGGGTCAAAGTTACGATTGTGTTTCAAATCTCAGTGGTTTGTCTGTTCTTAATTCATATTAATTGACCCCTTTTCTTAATCGGGTACCAATTATCCTCAATTTCAATCTTTTGGCGGATGTGGTTTGAGTGGAAATTTCCTGGAACTTTACCAGGACCTATTTTAAGCGAGACAACCAAGAAGAAACCCTCAGTAACAAAGTGTCCATCTGCATTAGCAATCTGTCTTCGTATTACCTCAATTGTCATGGTCGGATTCATGTAACTCCGTCGATCGTTTACAGGATGATCGCTCTTCGTTATTTCCTAAACTTTAAAGGCGCTGTTCTCGGGCACCTACGATCTCATCCGGCTTGATGCCACCCGTCGTCTTGTTTCTTTTTGTGGGCAGTTTGTGTCCACCAGCAAAACTATAAGTTACTGACGCCGACGTGGACCATCAGCAACATCGACCTTCACTTCTTCCTAGAAGCATCCATATAAAACAGCCCCCACTATGGCCAAACTCCACAGATTCATAGTTCTCAGCCTTAGAAGGACAATTTCGCGGAGCCAAAATTGTTAGGCAGCATGCAATATATTTCCTTCTAGTCTTTGCAGTGACTGGTGAGTTGGCAAACGAGGTATTAAATGCATTGCTTCATCCCGGCAACCAGATAATGTCCTCGGTTCTGAAATGTATCACACTCAGGAAGCATCAGTCAGCTCTAGGCATCTACCCGACATAGATTTTGCAAACGATGACTCAAGTGGCAAGGCGTCTTCTGGAAAGATCTTTTTGTCTACACCACTTTCCAACAGTATCCAACCAATTCTAGCCCCCAATGTTTAAATTTTCAATTGTTGAGTACTTCAAAGATGTAGAAGATCTCATGATAGAGGCGACTAAACCACTTCGGTTACCTCGGTGCCTGCGCCAGACACAAACTTCAGAAAGCGCACTTTGTTTTTAGTACAAAACAGTTAATGAGCACCTGATTGTTCTACTTAATACGTTCCGCCTTAAAAATGGTCACCAAAATGCCCTTTGAGATCTGACTGAATGCATTATTCACTGCAAGTAAACGCAAACACAGGCTTGGAAATTTGCAATCTTAAGGCTTAGCTGAAAACAAGCGCGTTTTGGTAAGAACATCAAAAAATCGATGCGTAAAATTAATCGATATGGTGCACTAGCCCTGTTTTCTAGCCCCTGTCATCCACAACCTATTAAAACCTTGAAGACAACTGGACCATGTTTCTAGGTGTCATTCTCGAATTGGCGTAAACTATGGAAAAATGAACTTAAAGCATTATTACGGTGTCTACGGATGCTAAAGTGATTTATTGTCTGGATACTAATAAGAAGTACCCACCAATCAGGTGTTTGGCTTTACCCGCACTAAATAAAGGAGGTACCACAATGAAAACAAGGCTCAAAGCCGTGGGTCTTGCCATAGGGACAACTCACAGTTCATTTAAACAACAGATAACGTGTTATTCGCAAGTATGGGAAGTCCTTACGTCCAGTATGCCCATCCTCCAAAACAGTTTTATGGTTCCTGGTTCTGTGGAAGGAACTGTCATGTGATTAATTAGTGCAAGATCGCACAGCAAATCGACCCACGCCATGTGGACCAAATTAGTTAATAAATAAATGTTTCATGCATTCACTGCATTGAAATTTGTCTTAGTTGGCCAGCCTTATCGACTATCGATGTGCAAGGTCACTTCTGTGCAAATGTCAACTTGTTACGT